AAAGAACTTTTTTTTTTAATTTAAATGAGTTTTAAAGGTTCCTCTTTGGATTCTAAATTTATGATGGATCCTAATATGGTTGCAATTTTTTTTCTTCTAAACTATATCAACCTGGTACTCAAAAGAAGCAAAATAATGCGCTTATTTTGAATATAGTATTTGTTTTAATTCAAAACTAAAGAGAAAAAAATCATGTCATTTTTTTCATTAAAAAACCCCTTACTTTCATCTTATAATTAATAGACATCGATTCGTGTCTCAGGAAAATTGGTTTGTAAACTTTTTTTTTTTTGCTATGAAAATTGATCCACCCTATTACATATTTATAACATATAAACACTTACAAAATATAAACCCATCTAACATTAACTTATATAATCACATAATAAATAACACACATTACCATATCATTTGAATCAAAAATATTTAAATACATAAATTAAGGAAGATATATAAATTAGAAACATATACAAATACAACCTTATTTGTGTAATATTTGTTCAATAATATACCTTGTAATGCACATTTATTAACTTTAAAAAACAAAGTTAATTAAAATCTATCAGAAAGTAAACAATGTTGTTTGTGTAGCATTTATTAAATGACATACCTTGTAATGAATGTTCATCAATTTTAAAAAATAAGCTGTTAAACAATCTTGTTTATGAACATGAAACATAAAGTTGACCCTGAGAGAAGCAAGGGTTTTTGAGATAAATACCAAGTTTATCAAAAGTTTGACCTTTTGATAGGAGCATAATTCTTGAGTTCTTAAAAATAAAAAAACATAAATTAATATACTTTTACAAACAACAAAGGCCTTAAATCGTGTTACTATTAAAATGAGCTAAATTTGCCTGATTTTACAAGTTAATTAAAAATTTTAAAGATAACATAAGATTTATCTATTACTACAGACTTTATGATTGTATCAAATTGTTATTTATAATATAAAGGTTTTATATTTTATAAATGATAAAGCAAATATTAACAGATTATAAAATAGACTCTCAATAAAGCTAAGTCACATTATAGCAAAGTACACCACTTGGTTAGCAAGGACAACACTCTTGCTGTAAACTAAGTCAAGTCACAACACTCAACATAACAAAAACAACATAATATCCACTTACAAACTATAAACACATAACATTATAACATATCAAAAACATATATTCACACTTACAAAATTTAAACCCATATCACCTTAACACAAATAAACATATAATAAATAACACATAAAAATAATTACATAAGTTAGAAAAATACATAAATTAGGAATATTTACAAATGCAACCTTATTTTTCTAATATTTTAAAAAACAAACGATCAAACGATCTAGTTTTTTTTAAGATTTTCTTTAATTTCTTTAAAATAAGATAAGAACCTTGTTCTTAAACATGCAACATAGAGTTGACTGTGTGAGATGCAAAAGTTTTGGAGAGAAAAACCAACTTTATCAAGAGTTTGCTCCCTTTATCGAAAGTTTGATCTTTGAATAGAGCATCGTCTTCAAGTTCTTAATAATGAAAATTAAAAATAACATAAGGTTTATCTATTACTACAGAAATCATAATATTATTAACTAATACAAAAGTTTTACAACTTATTTCTGATTAAGTAGATATTAACAGATTAACTAAGATTAATAAAGATAGTGAAGATTTCTGAATAACTTATTGCGTGATCAAAAATATAAAATGAAATATTAAAAAAAACCTATGCCAAATGCAACAGCATTAAATTAAACATGAGTTATATTTGTTAATAATAATAATAAATATATATGCACACATACACACACATATTAGTAGAAAAACAGTTATAATTTTTCATTTTACACAGTGTTTAATCAATAAAGATCAAATTAATAAACTTTAGTTATAAATGTCAGATACAAATTTAAAAAAGTATAATGGTCATAGTCACAAATGTCTTAAATAAGACTTCCTTAGATGACTTCCTGTAATTTAAATTTTTGTATAAATTAAATTTTATTAATTTGATCAATCATTTCTGATATACTTTTGTATAATATATATATATATATATATATATATATATATATATATATATATATATATATATATATATATATATATATATATATATATATATATATATATATATATTTGAATAAAATTAAAAACACTTTTAAAATGTTTGTTATACATGTTTTGAACTACATAGTTCATCATCAGTAAAATTTATAAAAATCATTAAGAGGCGTTTTAATAAGGGATACAAGTTAATTACTTTATTACAAAAATCTAATATAAAATTCATTACAAAAAGTTAAAAAGACCATTAATATACAATAACAAAATGCGTCTCAAATCTCAATTAAAAAAACATAATAGGTACAAATAGTTAAAAAAAAAAAAAGAAATTTCATAAAATCAACGTCATGATAGTCAAAACAGTTCAAGAATTCATCAAATGCTATGTAGTTCAAAACATGTATTACAAACATTTTAAAAGTGTTGTTAATTTTATTAAAATATATATATATATATATATATATATATATATATATATATATATATATATATATATATATATATATATGTATATATATATATATATATATATATGTATATATATATATATATATATATATATATATATATATATATATATATATATATATATATATATATATATATATATATATATATATATATATATATATATATATATATATATATATATATATATATAATAACATAATAACCACTTACAAACTATAAACACTGTATATAAATATATATATTTGCATAGTAGTTAAAAGGGATTCTAATAGTAAAAAAAAAGTATCTTTTAATGCTTTTTTTTTAATATTTAAGCGATCATCAACAGTTAAGCGGAATATTATTTAAACAATTAAAAAAATTGGCAAATGACATTTTCTTGCAATAGTAAACAGACCTCTGTTTTTTGGAGAATTGTTTTGCTGATAGATATGGAAATAATGGTTTTGATTGAAAATAACAGCAGTGCGATGCTTGGAAAACCATAAAGAAGAGTGAGACTTGGAATTGTTCAGAAAGAATAAAAGATTCCATGCCAGCCTGAATCCGAGAAGTTAAGTAAGAAGCACATTTTTCAGTGTTCAGAAGCACCTAAAGGTGAATGTGGAGAAACTAAGCACTGACTAGGGTCAGAAACAAGATATAAGTCAAATAGAGAAGGTAAATGATTTGGATTGTCTGCAAAGTGAGTTGGAAAATTGGCTATTTGAGTTAGAGACTATTTGAGAAAGGCAAAAGTTGTAGATCTTAATGCTTGCAGAGTCATTGACACCAGAGCCAAGCCATACAGTGTGATGAGTATTAAAGTCACCAGCAACAATGATATTGGCTGAAAGATAAAGAGAAAGGGCTAGGTTAATTTGATTGGAAATAACGTTAAAAAGAAAGCAGTCTTAAGGTGAAGGAGGGCAATATAAAACAAAGAGAAAGACAATAGAGTGAAGTAGTGCTAAACGAAAGCACATAAAAAATAGTCAGTGGATTCAAACCTAGTTTCCCAACAAATAGGTGAATTTTTACAAATGTGAATGCCCATGCCAAGCATGTGACTATTGGAGTCTTTATGAATTAAAGGAAGATAACCATCAACACAGAGATCACAAGATGAGACTGCCTAACTTAATTAGTCTCATAAAGAACAAGTAGGTCTAGTGAACTTTGCAAGAGATCTTAACAGAAGAAAAGTTGCTTTGATGACTAGGAATATTAGTGAATGATAGATTTAGAGAGAACATGCAAAGAGTGTTGCTACATCAACTGAAAAATAGCCAGAATATGGGAGGAGTATTGCTACATCAACTGACAAATAGGTAGAACATGCTAGAGGTGTTTCTACATCAACTGTCAAATAGATAAAGTATGTAGAGAGTACTGCTACATTGAGGAAAAATAGGCACAGCATGCAAGGATAGCATGCTCTGCCAATTTGTCAAATATTATGCAAATGAATGCCGAGGGGTTGATTTCAAAAGTAGCATTTACCTCAGCATTATATCTGCAACATTTTTAAAACTAAATTAAAGTTTTGTGTTAATAAATTGTTTTCTTATAATTTTGAATGAAATTGAATGAAAAGTTTTTATTACATAATTTTATATTTGGTTTTAGAAATGATTTTTTTTTGTAGTTTATTTTGTTAGCTTTCTAAAAGCTGTTAAATAATTTTTTTATCAAAGCTGTTGTAGTAAATAACCAAAAAAAAAACATTTAAAGAAAAAGTTTTAATTCACCCTCTGCAAAAATCTTAGCATACACTGTGTGTCGAGGTTAACTCTGCATGCTGTATATGCTCTATATTCCACAAAAACACAACTTTATAGACTAAACGTTTTTATTATTTTTTAATAAATTTAGAAACTTTCTCATTGTTTTTATTTATTTACTGTTTTCATGCATAAACTGACAAATAGGTCGAACACGCAAGAAGTGCTGCTACATAAACTGACTTGTATGTAGAACATGTGAGGAGTGTTGCTACATGAACTGACTTGTATGTAGAACATGTGAGGAGTGTTGCTACATCAACTGACAAATAGGTAGAACATTCAAGTAGTGATATAACATTGATTATAAAAAAAGTAGAACATGCAAGGAGTGCTGCCACATCAACTGAGGGTTTTGGATTAGGCAGAAAATCTATCAATTAAAAAAAAATTAAAATCATATATATAATATATATATATATATATATATATATATATATATATATATATATATATATATATATATATATATATATATATATATATATATATATAATCAGACAAGCTTTTACAATGTCATTTTTTACTTAAATAGTTAAACTTGAAGCAATATTTTACAACCAGTAAAAATCAGTCAAAGGTTATCTAAGCATTTTTTATTGCTAAACCATCTGTAATATAGGTATAATAAAAGCATAGGTTTGTTTTAAAAATAAATGTTTAATAAATATTTTGTTTAAAAAAATTTTTTTAAATTTATTTCTAGCGATTAAATGTGTGGAAATTTTTGCTCCAGAAAATGGACAGATAAAGCTTGATGGATTTCACTTTAATGCTAAGGCTACAGTAACATGTAATCCTAATTTTAAGTTATTTGGTTCATCAGTAAGATATTGCACTGCAAATGGTTGGGATGGCATGCCACCATATTGTTCTGGTAACTTGAGTTTATTAATTTTTCTTATATACAAATTTAAAAATATACATTATTATTCTTTTATTTTACACAAGTAAAATAAAAGTTAATTTTTTATTGTTAAAATACATCAGAAAATTAATTTATTATTCCAAACATAGTGAAGGAAAATTAAAAAATATATATTTATTAAACAGTGAATAATATTAAACGTATTAAGCAATAAAAATAGTAGATATAGTAGCACTAATGCCTATAATAAAAAAAAAATTTAATCTTAGAAAAAAACATTAAGCTAATCAAATAGTCTGCTAGATTGTCAGATCTTACCCAATCATATATGTATGGACTGTGCTTGACACTGCAGTCTACATTTATGGTTTCACCTGAAAAATTTTGACTAACTTTATGTCCTGCTGCTTTGTAGGATATGCCTTTTTAGGCAAAAGCTAGGAGATGCAAACTCCGACATAAAACACCCCTTGCCTTGGGGTTCTTGATTGAGTAAAGGCTAGAGATGGTGTCTCGATAAAAATACTCATCTTGGGCAGATGTTAAATGCATCCGGCTGCTGTCTTGTAGAAGGCCTCTGAAGCAAAGACTTAAGGGGTAAACAGATTCTATCTGTTGACCAGCCTCGCACCCCTTCTCCATCTATTAGGCTGGCGCAGATGTATTTTTAATACATTGTTTCATGTTTAGGATGTTCAATGCTGAATCTTCTCGATGCATGGGTTTTGCTTGTGCCTCTGTTTTTATGACTAGGCAACTCATTCTATTATCTCCAAATGAGGGTACAGCTCTAAAACTCAGTTTTATGGTTCTGAGGCCAGCTGATGTCAGGTTTCCCGAAATCTGTGGTAGCTCTCAGAGAGGCTGATTCCATCAACAGCTGAAAAATATCAGAGTACTAACAGTGTCATATTGCGCATGGATGGTGTCCCTGTTTGTACTTTTGGTGTGCATTGCCAAGGCCACATTGGAGCCCTTTGTTATGGCTTAGAGTTTATTAGTGGAAACGAGGCAGTTGCTTGGGCTATAAAACAGTGTACTGAGTACTATCTATGTTTCGAGTCAAGTTCTTTAACAAATTTAAAAATGAATAAAGTAACAAAAACTATAAAACACAAAAAACCACAGTCATCACCAAGTTCGCTAAACCTATCATTCACTAATATTCGTGGTCTTTGAAGTAACTTTTCTTCTGTTGAGTCTTATTTCTTGCAAAGTTCACCAGACCTACTTGCTCTTTGTGAGACTAATTTGAGTTCAGCTGTCTCATCTTGTGATCTTAGAGTTGATGGTTATCATCTTTTAATTCGTAAAAACTCCAATAGTCACATGCTTGGCATAGGCATTTACATTCGTAAGAATTCACCCATTTGTCGGGAAACGAGGTTTGAATCCACAGACTACTCTTTTATGTGCTTCCGTTTAGCACCACTTCACTCTATCACCTTTCTCTTTGTTCTATATCGCTCTCCCTCATCTCAAGACTGCACTCTTCTTGATGTTATTTCTGATTATATTGACCAAGCCCTCATTCTTTATCTTTCAGCCAATATTGTTGTTGTTGGTGACTTTAATGTTCATCACACTGAATGGCTTGGCTCTAGTGTCAGTGACTCCGCAGGCATTAAGGCCCACAACTTTTGCCTTTCTCAATCCCTAACTCAAATAGTCAACTTTCCAACTCGCTTTCCAGACAACCTGAATCATTTACCTTCTCTATTCGACTTATGTCTTGTTTCTAATCCTAGTCAGTGCTCAGTTTCTTCACACTCACCCTTAGGTGCTTCTGATCATGGTTTGTCTCTCTAAAACTAGTATCTTATTCTTCTTTACCATCAGAATCCCCCTATCATTGTGCATCTTACAACTACTTTAAAGCTGACTGGGACTCTTTCTGTGATTTTCTTCGTGATGGCCCCTGGGTAGAAATCTTTTGTCTTCCTGTTGACAGATGTGCTTCTTACATAACTTCCTGGATTCAGACTGGCATCGAATCCTTTATTCCCTCTTGACGATTCCAGGTCAAGCCTCACTCTTCTCCATGGTTTTCCTCACATTGTGATGCTGCAATTGCCAATTGAAACCATTACTTCCATATCTATCAGCAAAACAATTCTCCAGAAAACAGACATCTGTTTATTACTGCTAGAAACCATTGTAAAAAGGTTTTGTCTAATGCCAAAGCCCGCTATTCTTAGATCATGAAATCTCGTATTTTATCTAAAAAATTAGGCTCTCGTGACTTCTGGAGAATAATAGTTTCAATAATAAGGGCAAGTCTGTAATTTCACCTCTTTTGCATGGTTCAGACTTTGTCACCTCAACTAAAGACAAAGCTGAGTTGTTTGCCAAGAACTTTTCATCAATATTGTCTCTTGATTCCATTAGTTGCGTTCTACCTGATATAATCGTCAAACAGGTTGATCCACTGCTCGACATCTGTATCACTCCAGCTTCTGTATCTAAAGTGATTTCCTGTATTTACATCAAGATCTCTATTATTTACATCAAGATTTTTAAATCTTGATGTAAATACCAGAGACAACTTTACAATTTTTTGCAAGCTTATTCTTTTATCCTTGTATATGAGTGTAGTTAGTGAAGTATTTTTGTCCTTTGTAATTAACTTTTTCAAATACATTTTTTTGAAGTTGATGAGAATCAAAGCTCAAGTTTTAATATGTAAAAAGCTATTATTTACTTTAATATATTAACAATATCGAATCACCGATTCAAGAAAATTTTCACACGAGAAAAAAATCATTCAGAATCCAAACGTCCAAAAATCTTTTTTTTTTTTGCATCACATAATGTAAATAATTTTACATAATGTAAAGTATACTGCATGACATAAGTATGCAAATTAACATGACAGTGTAACATGACAGTGTTCCAGTTACATTTGCTTGTGTTCAGTTTGCATCGATAAGTTCAGAGTCACCCTATGATTTGCATCCTGCACTTTGCCGTCCTGCAGTTGCTTGACTTTGTCATTTTATTTGGTCAAAAACCAACCTTATTTAATGGAAGATGAATGCAAATATTCAGAGATTGAAGAATATGTAATAAAATAAAAACATATTACTATCATTCAAATTTTTGAATAATATATATTTTATTCGAAAAATGCCACTATAGTTGTATAATTCTTTTCTGTATAAAATGCATAAAATGAAATAAAATGCCAGTATAGTTGTATAAAGTTGGATAAATTTTCACAACAGCTTCACTAACCAAAGTTTCACAAGTTACAACAACTTCATTAACACATTAAAGTTAAATCACAAATAGCTACAAAAGAGAAGAGGAATAAATGTTATGTCTTGCGAATCAAATTATTTTATTGGACCAGTGTACTATCTAAACTATTCAGAAAGGAAGATGAAAAAATAAGAAAATTTATATTTATATCAGTTTTATTACTGGTATGTAAAATGTTAAAATGTTTATTTAAGAAAAATGATAAAAATAAGTGTTTAAGCTAAAAGGAATAAGCTTAATGGAGTCAAACTAAAACTGAGTTGATACATTTAAGATAATATAAAATACATCAGTAGAATCCTTGACTGCAGTGCACCCCTTCCCTTGATTTTAGGAAAATCAATAAAATAGCCTAATAAACAACTAAATAAATGATGAACTTTGTTAATTACCTAAACTTTTTTAATTATTGTTGTTAAATATTTTCTTCTAGTTCTTGTCTATTTTCAGTTGAAGTTTGTCCGCCATTCTTTGTTCTAAATGGAAGAACACTTGGTACATCTCCAGTTGTAGGAAGTGCAGTTAGAATTGAATGTGACACAGGGTATACACTTATTCAGCAGAATTTGTTGTATCGAACATGTCAAAGTAATGGCCAATGGACAGGTGGTAACCAAGCATCAATAGAATGTAAAAGTGAGTATAAAATGAGATATTTTAAATATTTAGTTAAAATATAATTAAAATTAACAATTTGCTTGTTTAGTCATAGAATGTGGACCTGTTGAAAACACAGGAAACACTCGATACGAATATGTAGGTGGACAAAAATACAATAATATTGTAAAATACTCATGTGTTGCTGGTCATTGTTTGGAAGGAAGTAGTGTGCGTCGTTGTCAAGCTAATGGAAAATGGTCTGATAATGCTCCAAAATGTATTTGTAAGTAAAAAGTAGTTTTTATGTTTGATGATTTTTAGAATTCGAAATTTAAATTTACAAGTAAACATTTGACAAAATACATACCTCAGGTTTTTTTTATAGCAAACTCATGTTGCAGTCCTTATGTTCCACCACATTCCAAGCTTTATTCTGACAATAGCTTTAGTCCTGGGGAGTATGTTTACATTAAATGTGATCAAGGTTACAAGTCAAGTGGAACAGAGTTGAGAATATGTCAAAAAGAATTAGTATGGAGTGGAGAAGACACTACTTGCAACAGTAAGTAGTTTTAAATTGAATTATTTACTGAAAAATGTTTTACTTGTTGTTGTTGCTTTTTGTGTTATGCTGTTGTTTTGTTGTTTTAAATACAGGGTACAAATTTAAACTGATCAGTTAAGGGTGCATTGGTTGCAAATGGCATTCAATATTTTCTGGAGGCTTGTCAATATGAATTTAAATTTTTTAAAATCTTTTTTTATCAGATTATTAATTTAAATGTACTTTCCATCGCATTTTCTATTTTTTACTTTATTCAAAGTAATTCAAATGATATATATATATATATATATATATATATATATATATATATATATATATATATATATATATATATATATATATATATATATATATATATATATATATATATATATATATATATATATATATATATATATATATATATATGTAAATTAGAGTGCTTAATGTTCTTAAAGAACAGAGCAATAATAAATTAGTAAAAACACTTATCTAATTTTCTTCAATAATTTGTTTTTCCATCAGTAAGCTCATCATTAAACATATATATACTCTCATTTATAGTTGTTGACTGTGGACATCCAACTGGTAATCAGATTATGAAGAATGGAGAAATACATATGTCAAAGACGACCTATCTTGCTCATGCTCTATTTTACTGTCAACCTGGTTATTTGATTGTTGGTTCTACTGAAAGAATTTGTCAAGCTAATGGCAACTGGTCAGGAAATGTTCCTGTGTGTATTAGTAAGTAGTTGTTAAACTTGATAAATCTAAAGAGTGTGAATTTCACTCTGACAGCATTTAATAAATTCATACTTTTGTTTCATATTTTTAAAACATTTTTTTTTTTAGATTAAATTTTCCAACTTGTATTTAAATTGATTTATTGTTAATGAAATAAAATATCTTTGTGGAAATGCATTAATTTCTTTAACTTGTTTAACAAGAAATTATGCTTTAGTAAGTAAGAATCTCTTTCTCTTACATATCTTAGTTTGTGATCTTGTGTCTTGACTCATGTCTTAACATTATTTGCAAGTTCAATTTTTCAAAGTTTTTTTTCTCTTAAATATTTGTAGCTTCCTTCTTTTCTTTATAAAAACTACAAGTATTAAGTACTTACTACTTGTACAGTTGTTACAGATCCTTGAGGTGTTTCTTGGAATATCTTTTTCTACAAGGAAGCAGTATTGTCCAGCGCAGCTATATAGACTACAGAATCAAATGCTTTAACAAAATATAATGACCCTTTATCTACAAGCATGTTTTTAGTCTGATAGTATAAAATGTAATTCAAGGGTTTAATCAAACTTGTGGTGAATGACTTTCCTTTTGCAAATCCAAAGTTTGTTTGATATAAGCTTGTTAAACTACTTGTTAAAAAGATTTTGTAGACAAGTGATGCCTTCCATTTTATTTAAAAGGTACACAAGTTAATGACACCAGTCTGTAGTTGGAAGTTTGGAGTTTATTTTTTATATTTGCCTCTCTCCATTTAATTGGTAAATCACTTTTATTAAATTTACTGCAATTATCAATGAGCCATTATTATTACAGGTATATAAAATAATAGGTTCTGCACACTTTAATTCTGCATTGGATTTCTTTAATACAGTTTATTTGAATGGTCTCAATAGTTTCAAAACATCAAAATAGTCATTAAATAAATTCATTCATTTGAAAAATTCATTTGTTTCAACTATTTCGAATGATTATCAAAATTTTAAATTCAAACTGATTTGTTAATAAATTGTAATTCTATTTTAGCATTTTTTATGACAACTTAGAACACAGGCTTGTAAAATCTGATACAAAAGCCAGTTACTTTATTACTGCTGTTGTTGCAGTGTTGTTGACATTTCTATATTTATAAATAGCAACACTTTTACTGACTTCACTGCTTTACATCTTGGATATTCTTCATTACTCTCTCTTGGATTTTTCTTTACTACCTCTCATAGAAACCATAAAATATATAGAATCTATTGCAAAGTTAGTCTCTGCTAAGGTTGCTTCTCTTTATTCTGTTTGCTTTTTTCTTACTCCTAGTTCCATTCTTTACTTCTATAAATCTCTTACTTATCTCTGTAAGGAATATTTTTGTGATATTTTAGATCTTCTAAAAAGATCTTTTCTAATTTAGAAAAGGTTTAAAATTGCATTGTTAATATTATCTAGACTTACCTCTTTAAATTTGTCATAAAGTTCTGTCATAAAGTTTTCTTTTTTCCTAAAATTTTACAATAGCAACTCAAAACTGACTTCATCAACCTGTTAAAGCTTATAAAGCTGTTATGACTTCATTAACCAAAACTCTTGTGTGACTCGACATCAAAAGGTTTCATCCTTTTGATTGAAATTGTTTGTACAACACCAGAGGGCACAACACTTGTTTTACTAAAATGTTTAAATTTTTTAAACTTCTAAAACACGTTTTGTGCACAGTGGGACAAATCAACAATTTTTGATTAAAAAATTTGTAATAAAACAGTTTTATTACAAAACTGTTTTATTACAAAGCCATTTCTAAGAGCTTTGAAACAGTGTTTTATTTTTTAGGGTTTGTTTAAGTAATTATATAAAATCATTAGATTTATTTTTTTAACAAGATTATTTTTGAATTTATTTGCGCTTTTTTGAACTGAATAAATTTACACAATTACACACTTAACTCAATTCTAAGCACTTTTTTTTTAATTACCCACTTAACTTGATTTTAAGCACTTTTTTTTTAATTATACACTTACTCGATTCTAAGCACTATTTTTTTTAATTACACACTTAACTTGATTCTAAACACTATTTTTTTAATTATCAAGATAAGTTAACACAAAAAGTTACAATATCATTCTTTCGAATAGTTAGTTTACAATATAAGCTGGTTGAATAGTTCAATTGAGCTATTTAAGCTCAATAGATTTTAATAGTTCAAAATAGATTTTTAGTGCAATAATAACAGATAACAAGTATTATACTTTTCTTTACATTCTTAACTTTTTCCTCATGTATTTTACAGTAACAAAATAATTCATCTTAATGTAACAATACATCTGATTTTTGTTACTTGTCAATAGTTTAAAATTAATAAACAAAAATTCGAAAGTGAAATGATACTGAAAAAGTAAAAAACATTAAATTTTTTTTAGAGGATGCTAATGGTGGTCATGTAAGAAAAGAGTCAGGTTCCTTAGTGTGTTTACATCAATCTATTTGTCATTGGCTTATACAAGTCACTCAAGGGAAAAAAATTACACTTGATTTTCTCACTTATGATGTACAAAATGGTGGAAAAACTGAAGTTTACGATGGCGAAAACTTTAAAGAACCATTTATAACTTTCACAAAAGGATTTGAACCGCGGAAGATTACATCAAACAGTCATTTTATACGTATAATAAGTTCTGGGTACATAACCTTTAACTTTTCAGAATCATGTAAGTTAAAATTAGTGACAAATTTTTTTTTAATTTAATAATACCATATTAAAGCCACTTATATAAGTATTATATAAGTTTATATATATATTTGACAATGCCAACCTAACTTCCGAGCTGAAAGTGTTTGAGGTCGACAAAAATTGCTGACCTCGTTTCTATGTTTTATGATCTGACCTTTTTATCAAATAAATTATGCCGACCTGATGCCGACCTCAAAAGATTGAGGTTGGCAAATTATTGCTGACCTCATTTTTCCTAATTCCGAGGGTTGTATATATATATATATATATATATATATATATATATATATATATATATATATATATATATATATATATATATATATACATACATATATATATATATATATATATATATATATATATATATATATATATATATATATATATATATATATATATATATATATATATATATATATATGCGGTAGTGGTGTAGTGGTAAAACACTCACTTCATAAGCGAGAGGTTCAGAGTTCGATCTCCACCACGTCCCTGGTAGTACCGCGCTCAACTTGTTTCTCCGCGCAGCGGCCTTGTTCGTCAAGGTTTGTGTTTCGGAGTTATAGAGTTGAGAGAGGGTTATAACCACTATTAAGTAGCCTCCTTGTCTGTAGTGGCCTTCTCGACCTCGAGGAGATGAATAACTAAAAATATATATATATCTGTGTGTGTGTGTGTGTGTGTGTGTGTGTGTGTGTGTGTGTGTGTGAGTGTGACTTAAAAGATTCTATATGAAAGTATTTTATATATTATTTAAAAAACATCAAGAAATATATCAATACTAAAAATGGCTTCTAAAACTTAGTGTTGACATCAGAGCCGGCCAGAGGGCGGTACAATCACACAAGGCTTCACACAAATTCAAATCACAAGAATTCTGTTTTTATAAATAAATTAAAAAACATTTTATTTTTTAAATGTTGAACAACATGGGAATTTCGTATGAAAGCAAAATGAAAATTACAAAAGCATTAGCAGCAGATATGCCTAGGATGTTGTAAAATATTACCGTAGGCCACCTCAATTATAAAAAATAGACGAATAAATAAACTTATATAGAGTAGATATTTGAAAAAAGAATTCTGTCTGAAAAGCGTGAAATCTGTAAGATTTTAAATACCACAAATTTCTCTAGCTTTAAAACACCTACTTGAACATACCAGAGGTCAGAAAAGTGAAGCAATCAGAAATAAAATTTGTTCTTTTGAGTTTATATTAAGTGTGGTAATTAGGTATGTCATATTGAAAGAAGTAAACATCATAAGCAAGATTTTTCAACATTTCAAAATTTCAATTTGGATATCAGCATAGCAAATACACATTTAAAAGGACTTTTAAAATTTTTTGAAAAATATTGTGAAACGGGATTTTACTCTTCCATAATAATAGCTAAGGAAATTGCTGAAGAAGTACAAGTGACAACTGAATTTAAGATTTAAAAAATTGTAAGAATTTTTTCATCAAGTGAAGAATATTTTAGAATTCAATATTTTCTTTTTGTTGTTGATAATGCAATTAATTCATTCACGAGAAGATTTAAGCATTATAAAGAACATGAAACATTGTTTTTATATCATTCAGATAATATTAAAAACATGAGCGAAGATGAACCTCTAAAATATTGCATTTTTACATGACATTACAAGATGATATTGATGTGATTGATTTATGTAATGAAATCAAAATCTTTTGTCAAGTTTTGCCTTCCAACTTCAGAATATTACAAATACTGCAATATTTGTTAAAAAAATAATCTATTTGAGTTATATCCGAATTTCGTTACTGCGCTTGAAATTATACTTTACCAATTACGCTTCATCTTTTTCAAGAACAGAGATCTTTTTCAAGATTAAAGTTATTTGAGGTCTGCCATAAGCAAAGAAAGATTTACTTCATTAGTAATTTTTTTTATAGCATCAGAAATAGCCAAAAAACTAAATTACAATGATATCCTCTCCATAAAGCACAGTGATAAATTTGGAATTTTTTGTATTAAATATATTTTATCGATATGATTCTATTTTTTGTTATTTGATCTAAAGAAAATTTTGATGACTGAAATGTTAGTTTATTTATTTACATTATTTTTAGTGACTTATAATTATATTATTTTTAGTGCCATTGTTTAGCGTGTAATAAAGTATAATGTACATGTATATAATATTTGTAAAAAATCATATATGTGCACATATATGTACTATGATAATATCAAGGCCACGCAAGGTTATCCTGCACCAAGCCCCACATTTGTTTGGGTCAGTCCTGGTTGACATATTGCCCTTGGTCAATTTTAATTCTGCAGTTTCTAACAGACAACATTTTATTTTTTAGGGGCTACTTTTCTTTTAAATTTACTTTAAAATTTTTATTTTCAAATGTTTTTTTTTTTTTCCAATTAATCTCTTTTTTTGCATAATGTTTTATGAAGAGTTAATGCATATTGGTGATGTTTTTATTTTTTAAAAAAAACATTACCAATTTGCATTAACTCTTAAAAAAAAAAAAACATTTAATAATCTGTTTCTTAAATACAGAAGATAAAGTTTGCCATGTGATAAACAAGATATGTGATATGTATATATATATATATATATATATATATATATATATATATATATATATATATATATATATATATATATATATATATATATATATATATATATATATATATATATATATATATATATATATATATATTGTTGTTGTTGTTGTTTGTGTAATCTTTAGGAAGAGATTTATTTCTGACTTTAATAAAGAATTCATAGGCTTGTTTAAATAAAAAGTTTTTTTTAGAATTAGAAACTAAAATAATTATCACAAATAAATAAATTACTCATATGCTAGAATTGATTTTTTCACATGTCATTTATTGCAAGTTTAAGAGTGCTTTGTTTTTAGCATTTGTTAAATTAATTTAAAAGGTTTTCTGTTACCATAATTAAAATCAAAGGTCTTCTAAATATTGTTTTCATTTAAGTTTTATAGGCAGTTGTAACAGTTAACAGATCAAATTAGTTTAGCAGTTTACAGCTGTAATAAAAGTTCATTATATTTGAGATTATAGTGAATAAACACGAAAAAAAAGTTTCTACTACAGATATTAACATTCATTTTATAAAAAAAATTAAAACTACAGATATTACCATTCATTTTATAAAAAAAAATGGAAAAAAAAAAAAGAAGATATAAAAATCTTACTATTTTACTTTTGAAATCTTGATATGACCCTGAATAGAGAAAGTATTTTCTTACAATATTAAATAGAAAAAGTATTTTCTTACAATATTAAAAATGGCAGTTTGGTCTATATAAGAGCATACACAGATTCACATATATTGCAAAAATATTTAGTTTTCTATCTAATGTAAATCAAAGTGACCTTAAGCTAAAAAAATTCCAAATTACTAATAAATTTGCATATCAAATTAGAAATAACTCTAACTAGAAATAAACACAACAGCTGCCTTTAACTTTTATTTAGTCTTTGCAGACTAAAAAATATTTTGACATAAATGTCTTGTGAAATAATAACATTTAAATTATATATTTAAAGGAAATAAGTAGAAGATAATATATTTTTTATTTACTGATATTTATTAAACAATATATAATATTTAGGTTGCTTAAAAAGTTTACAAACGTTTTTTTTATTTCCATGATTATTTATACAAAGTAAAAAATACTTTTATTTCAGCTCAAACCTATTTTATCTAACAAAAACTTTTGAATTTTTACCTTCACCAATCCAACAAGAATTAATTCAATTGTGTCCAACTTATTTTAAATAACACCACGGCTTACACCCTGTAACAACATAACGCAGTCTTCATCAACCATTTCTGAATAGGGCTAAATTTTTCTTGCATGTCTCAACTCTATCTTTTCTATTTTGATGAGGCATTCAACAAGGTACCCCATTAAAATTGCTAGTTTTTACTTTTTACAGAGTAATGTGAATATATAAAACACATAAATAGTGTGACATAAAAGTTGTGACATAAAATAATGTGAATATATAAAACAATGTAATGTGATGTAATATATAAAACAATGTAATGTGATGATAAAGTAATGTGAATATAAAAAACACATAAAAAGTGTGACATAAAAGTGTGACATAAAAGTGACTTTTCGAAATTAAAAGTACAAAAATTTGTGTTTTATTCGGTCTTTAGGCTTTGTTATGTCTTTTACACCTAAATCCATCATGGGTTTCTCAATTTCAGAATGAAGCGAATATATCTGTCCCATTGTTAACCTTATAATGAACTCTACTACGGTTCATAAGTTGTCTGTTGGTTCCGTGGTGGAAACATAGTCTCAATATCCTCTTGGCTGTTGTCTACCAATGGGATAGGTTCAGAGTACCTGAATTGCGCTTAACAAGATCATGAGAATACGTGCCCAAGCTAATAGCAAGAAAAATATTTCTAAGATGCCTCCGATCCTTTACTCACAGTTAATATACCATCTGATAGCAAGCTACAGTTGACTGGCTAAATTGTTACTACTGGAAGCAACTCACACGTCTTTAAAGATTTCCAATGCAACCAGTGTAGGAAGTAGGTCTGGAGGTAGGATAGGGAAGTGACTTGAACAGGTGGCGGAGAAGCAATTCATTGAAATCTAGTTGACAAACAACCCATTGCAAAGCTCTTCCAATCTTCATTTCAACGCAGTACCTTATCGTAAACTCCAGCAATTACAACTGTCCCATCACACCCTAAAACAAAAATATGTTTTAAAACTCTGGGCACCTCTGTTGTGATATAGTCAGAAATATTTTTAGCAATTACTATTATCAATGTCAGAACTCTCACTTTTAAGGTCTTCCATGGTTCGATACCTTTCTCTAACAATTTAGATCTTATCAATCACAAAAGGTGTATCTAATTCAGTAACTAGGTTAACCTTGTGCAGAACGCTAAAAGCAATGGCAGCCATGGCTTGAAATCTAAATCTTTGGCTTATTAAAACCATGCTTTTTAATTTCTATCTGATTTGTGTAAAGAATGAAATTTATGGTCCAGGATGGTCAGGTTCATGTTTTTATCCTTATCCATTGTGTCATGATTTTCTAAAAACGTTAATGTTAATAAGGTCTCATAATCATTGGGCTGGGATAAGCAGGGCGCAGAAAATTTAGAACTACGAAGGAATTCTTTTGCTATTTTTTTAGCACGTGCTTGAAGCTTTTTAGTTTCTTGCTAATCCAGGAATCTAATGCAGTCTGTAAGGGTAGAGCACTCGTGGTATCAAAAAAATTCTAATTCTTCTTTAAACTTCTCCACTCTTGCTTATATATCTTATATATAAGTATATATATATAAATTCAGAATATATATGTATATATATATTCTTATATATATATATCTTGCTTCCAGACGATAAGAATTTTTATACTCCTTTTTTCCCTTTAAGCAACTTTTTTTTAAAAAAAAACTTTTTTATTGAAATTAGTTCAAATGAGTTGCTTATATAGAGCGTTCACTGTGTGTGTGTATATATATATATATATATATATATATATATATATATATATATATATATATATATATATATATATATATGTGTGTATATATATATATGTGTATATATATGTGTATATATATGTGTATATATATATGTGTATATATATATATGTATGTATATATATATATATATATATATATATATATATATATATATATATATATATATATATATATATATATATATATATATATATATATATATATATATATATATATATATATATATTTTGGCGACCTGATGTCGTCCTCTTACAAATGATGGTCGGTAAAATATTGTTTAATTTTTTTATGTAATATTTAGCTTGTGGTGGGTTATTTGGTGATTCAAGTGGAGCGATTAATTCGCCTAACTATCCTCTGTCGTACCCGTCAAACCTTGATTGTTATTGGACTATTCATCGCCCTTACAATAAGCTTCAGTTACTTTTCCTTGATTTTAAACTTCAAGAGCTAAATGTTGACTTTGTAACAGTTGCCGAAGGACCATTTGTGAAATCTAGTTTGCTTTTAAGTCAAAGATACGGTAGAACTACGCCATGGCTAAATAAAGATTGGGTCGATCGTTGGTTATGGATTCATTTTCACACCGATAGTTTTTACGTAGACAAAGGATTCAAAGCGATCTGGAAAGTATTTACTTCTAATTAATGAATAAATAAATATTATATATATATTTTTTCCTCCTTGAAACTCATTATTGTTACGGACTTCTAAATACTAAAAAAATACAAAAGATATCCGTTGAAATCTTAGAAAAATAAATATTTTTGCATTGCATTCTTTTCTTTGTTGTTGTTTTGTAAAGATTAATTTGGGCAACTTTGAAAAGAGCTTATTTATTAAAAAGGCTCAGGCAATCACTTTGATGTTATCTATTCAAACAAATTTTACTGTTGTGAGTTATTATATTCTATTACGGTATATAATTATATACCGTAATAGAATATGCAGTATAATCAATCTTAAAAAATAATTAAGTTTTTAAGTAAGTTTATCGAGTAGGACTATCTCTATATTGATCTAAGTGTGTGTGTTAGGGTGTGTGTGTGTGTGTGTTAAGGTGTGTTTGTGTGCGTTAGACTGGAGTAAAAACAATCTTTTTTAGAAATAAAAGTATTCTCCCTGATTTTAATATTAGTGATAAAAAAACTAATAAACTGAGACCAAGATGAGGAAAATTAGATGAGAATTAATCCTTGTAGCAAATTTTACATTTAAAAAATATTTTTCAGGTTTCAAATTGAAAACATACTAGGTATGTTTGTATTATGATCAAAATGATATTTTTTTATTAAAAATCTTTTTTAAATTTTTTCAAACGTATTTAAAAGAAATTTTTAAATGGAAAAATTTAATATTAGTTATTATTAAATTCATTCTCCACTGAACCGGATTCAGGCTGCAGCAAATGTAGCAATTGCTACAGTCAGCTTATTTTTCTCTTTTTATTTTTAACATAATTTTTTTTTTCTTGCAAAAGAGAAAAATAATTTAAATAATATATGGAGGTTACAAGTAGGCGCTTCAAAAATTTATTCAAAATCGTAGCTGAGCCAAGTTGACTACGTTACGGAAATATTTCATTCGGAAAAATGAAATGCTTCAATTAAAAACCCATGTTTTTAACGGGTTTTGTCTCACATGCCCATAAATTTTTAAAAGAATGTCAAACATTTCGTAGCGTATCAACTTAAATTGAACTGGGAATTAAATAAAATGGCAAATCGACTGCAGCAAAAGTCATTTTGTCATGTTTTTAAACTACACATACCCCCGATAATTTATTATTTACTTAGACTATTTATCTGCAATCCTTTTATTAACAAGGAGATCTTATGTAGTGGCTAGGGGTGTAGTGATAAGGCAAATATTGTTTTCTTTTAGCCCCGGTCATGTAGATTTTATTTATATAACACGGCATTGTATTCTTTTTTTTTAATGACAAATAAAAAAATTAAAAAAACAAAACAAACTAAAAATCATCAAGTGAGAACCTGTAAAAAAAAAATTGTTAAGAAAAGACAAAAATTCTGTTAAATATCCACTCTCCGTTTTTAAAACTTTTTTTAATGAAGTGGATAGCAATCATTAAATGAAAAAGTTTTATAATTGATAAAACTAAATTAAACAGCACCATCTGTTGGTTTCTTTACTTAGCCTATTATGAAAATGGTGAACCTTGTTTATGCTTATGAAAAATGATGAAATGTGTTTATTGTTGTTCCGCGCGTTATTTATCTCTGGAGAAGTCAAACGATTTAAAACGTTTTAAAAAATGTATAGATTTCCCAGAGACAAAGAGAAGAAAACACATTGGATAGAATGTTTACCTAATGCGTGTTTAAAAACGTCTAACAACACTTTATTATATGACCTGAGTGGCATCAAAACTTCAAAAAGGTTAAACTAAAATAACTTTTTGCACAATTATTGTGCATAATTATGCACAATTATTGTGCATAATTATTTTCCTCTCAGTTGGATTTTTAGTTTATTTTTAAACTGCCACAAACTTTCTACTACTTTTTTTTTTACTTTGAAAATTTCTAGTAGGAACTATTATTTTCTGTGACAAAGTGTATGTTACAAAAATGTTTTTGTATCAGGTCTTTGTGAGGGAGGGGCGAAGGGGGCAAATCAATCCTGGCGCCAGGCTTGAAGGGGCGCCGGAACCGTTGGTATTCTTATTTTTTTAATTTATTTTTTTGAATTTAATTTATTTTATTAAAATAGTTTTTATTTATTTACAATAAATAAAAACTATTTTAATGACAGATAATAAAAAATTTGCCTAATTTTTGTATTTAAGGTTTAGTTATCGGAATAAAAATGCCCATGAAAAAATAATTTCATTTTAAATTCTATTTTTTTTCATTAATTATAAATTTTTTACAAAAAAAAAGTAGGATTTAGCAGTTGAATTAGACGAAACTGGACATATTCCGTAAGCCCACGAATAGTTAGCCTTGCTAGCTTGTGCTTGATTGCACGGATAGTTATGCGTTGTGGTAGTTGTAATAATAACTGATAAAATTTCGCTTTGAAGCAGAAGAATTCGGTCAAGATTTTAGTCATGATTAAAAGTCATAACGTTCTTTCGTTCTAAACGGACGGACGAAGAAAGCAGTGGTAGGGGACCTCAAGTATCACTATAAGCCACTGTACATCTTGTACAATGGCTATCACATAGGAGTGTATAGGAGGTGGGGGAGAATATCATATCCATTCGTTGGCGCGAATGGTATGTGATATCCTCCCCCACCCCCTATCAATGAGTTTTAGTGTTCATTATGTCTGCAATTTTAGCTCTTTTAGACCAGCAAGTTGGCATATGTAGATCATATAGTACAGTCGGCAAACTTGAACTTTTAATACTGTCGGCAAATAAAAAAAGCGTAAACCTTATTTTTTTTAGGCAAGAAAAAAATACTTATGGCATTTTTTCTACAGTCAATAAAAATCCTGGATTTGCCTCTGAACCCTCTCTTTTTATTGGGGTAAAACGTGGGGAAGTCACGCCATTAGAAATATTATTCGATTATGGTTTGTGCTTAAACTCCGAGTAGAGCATGACTATAATAGTGTATGTATTCAATTTATTATATGTTAAGTATTCAATTTTCCTATTTAAAAGTTTGTGTAAAAGTTTTAAATTGTAACTGATATGTATATATATATTTGTTTATCAAAATATTTCTTATAATGTTTTCTATATAGTAAAACTGTTATAACTATTATGTTTCATTGTATACTTTAATTCATTGCTATGCTATACTTTGATACTATGATAATACTATTCTAATACTTTGTTATTTATATTTCAGTAAATAGAATGTTAATAACCAAAACAGGTAATCCATTCTTTGGATACTTAATGCCACTCTCTGAGGTGCAACTGCCTACAGAACTAGGTTTCATGTGGTCCGCTGACTATCCAAAGCAAACAAAGTTCAAATCTTGCTGATACAGTGCCACTAAATTCTATCATTTCTTCTATACCGAGTATTTCAACACCAACTTTTTTGGTGAAAACAATCTAGCGTTATGATCATCATTACTTTCATAGCAGATACAATCGTCTCTCCCATCTTTTTTATTGGTTTGTCACCACTATAGAGACTTAGAGATCTGCTACAGTATGGCATTAGCTGTACTGAATGATAATGGCATTATTTTACATGATGACAAAACACAAGTTATTGACTTTAGCAAGATAAAGCGTGAAGAAGTTGAAATGCCACATAAAAGCCATGAATAACTTATAAATTAGTCCAAGTAAAACCTTTAAACTTTGGTTGTAAAAGAGACGGGAAATTAAAATTTTTTAAACAATAAGAGAATCATAGTGATGAAAGACCATATGAGTGGGTCAGAAGCCAAGAGGTACAAGTGACAATTTTACCAAAATTAAGTTAAGTATAAAATTTGATAGAAGAAGCAAACAAAATTGTTGGTGGCCAAGGGATACAAGTGAATCTCTGCCCTATGCTGCTTTCTACTGGAAAAACATAACAACAGCTGAGTATATTTAACAAAAAAACTTTAACTTTAAACAGCTGTATCTCAAAACTATGAAAATGTCACTTGTACCCCTTGGCTTCTGACCCACTCATATATCTTTGATTCAGGAACTTGGAGGAGGCTATTTAGGACTCTTCACTCCTTAGAGGAACAGCTTAAGAATTAAAATCTAAATTTCTACAGTATTCTAAATAACGCTCAATCATTTTGAACAATTTACAAGTGTTCGACTGTGATGGAATTACTGTAAACACTGAAAACATAAGACGGTGTTACTAAGTTTATTGAATAAGAGCTTCAACGGCCTCTACGATAGAAAATCTTTTTTGCTACATGCAGATGCATGAATCCTTCCTTTACATGATTTAGAATAATCATGATATCGACAGCCCACCGGGCTATACCTTTTCAAAATATGAAGATTATGTTGTTTTTTATAAACTTGATGGTGTGTGTGTGTTTGCGTGTGTGTGTGTGTGTGTGTGTGTGTGTGTGTGTGTGTGTGTGTGTGTGTGTGTGTGTGTAAGTGTGTGTGTGTAAGTGTGTGTATTTCCGGTCACTACTTTAAATCGGAATCTTTTACTTAAATTTCATTTTAATAAAAAGTAAGAAATTTCGTAATTTAAAAACGAGTATGTTTTAAGTTGGAAGGTTGTGCAAAACAGGTTTTCGCTGAAAACTTTTTTAACACATAAAAACAAATTTAAATTACTCCATAATGTTGAAATCACTTAATCTATAATTTTTTGCTTTTCCTCTTTAGTCGTTTACCGTTTACAAGGTCATTGTAGTTAAATGTACATCTGTCAATTGCCGCAGGAGTTTTGATACACCAAACTATGTTAAAAATGTATTTACATTATACATTATACATTGACATTATACATTATGACTTTTACGTAAACTATGTTTTTGTAATGTATGTAAACGTAATGAATTGTAAGGTATGTAAACGATAGTTTTAAAAATAACTAAAATCATTTTAAAAAAATACATACTTTGAAAAAAAAAATTAAAGAAACACTTGTAACTTATAAAACATAAGTTTTACAAATTTTTTATAAATGAGTTTTATTTGAATCTAAAATTTTAAAGCCAAGGCATGGACTGTCATGCCCTTGCTGCCAAATTCTCAAAAAACTAATTTCCTTTTTTTTTTTGTACATAATAAACTTTTTCTTAATGTTAACAATTTCCAACCTGATTGTTTTTTTGGATAACGAGGATAACTATCTAGGGTATTTTATACTCCCTAA